ATCTATCTATCTATCTATCTATCTATCTATCTATCTATCTATCTATCTATCTCAATAGGGGTTCAAATACTTAAAAAGTTGTGATAAAGTGATACTTTCACAAGGTCAAAACATATTGGCTTATTGAACTATGTTGCTCTGTTGTTTTAACTTATGAAACTATCCTCAAAGAAGAAAAGTTCATATCAAAATAATCCAGTTTTTATGGCCCATAACAGGGATTTTATCCCAAGCTACACTAAATGCAAGCAAAACAATTTGATGTCCCTGGAAGAGCTTTGTTTCTTGCAGGACTTTTCTAGATTTATTAGCCAACAAAAGAAACATGTATTGTTGAAACTCCAGTACTGAGCCTTTTTCTTGCACACCAATGTCTATCATGAAGGAAAGTTAGATGTACCAGATAACCTCCCCTCCACCCCCACAGTCATCCCAAAAGAAGAGGTGCAGATCAAGAAAATCCCTGGTTTGTGTTTATTTGCTTATTTGTTTACAAGATAGATGCAACATATGTACAAGAACGTTTGAAGTACGAGGCTGACATTTTTCTGAAAACTTGTCAGATGCAGAAGAGCACAGCAGGAGCCCTTCCCAAGAGGTGTTGTGAAAGAGAAAGAAAAAAAATGCACATGCCACCCACATTCTCTATTTTTTCCTCTCTCTGCTTCTTTCTCGGTGCTCTCTTTTACCGTATTCATCAGGATGGCTCTCTTTACGCTTCCTTTGCTCTCTGCTTACCTCTGAATTGTGGCTTTTTGCTTCCTTTCTCTTGTCTCCTTCCTCACTGGGGCTGTAAGCCGGCGGCCTTGAATCTGAGCTTCGCCAGCCCCGCTCTCCCTTGCTGCGGCTCCTGCTCGTGTGCCTGTATCGTTCCAATTCTTTTCTCCCCTCTGCGTTTTCCTTTCTTTCCTTCCTTGTGGGCTTTCTCTTGCTCTCACAGGAGCCCCATTTGTTGTTCTCCCAAGAACGATCTTCCTTTAAAAGTTGACCCTTCTCTCTATCTTTGTCCTTGTTATCACGGCTGCTGGAGAGATCTTTATAAAGTTTCTTCTTCCCCTTCTCATCAGAATCACTGCTGCCAGTCTCTGAAAACTTGGTTCTCCTTTTTTTCTGAGAATCCATTTTTCTGCAAGGGGCTTTATCTTGGCTGCTGGTCTCACTATCACTGCTGCTTGCTGAAGACTCACCAGAGGATGTGGAAGAGGATCTGTTCTTATGTTTTCTGTGTTTACTTTTACTTTTTCGCTTCTGCTGCTTTTTCTTCTTTCTGCCTTTCTTCTTCTTCTTCTTCTCTAGGCGATCTAGCTTTCTTTGATTTTGAACACAGAAAAATGAAGCAGGGAAACAGAGTGATATAACAGTGCAAGCTTTTTAAAAAAAGTCAGTAAATAGACCCTACACAATAATTTTTAGATTATGGCGAGCTTACTATTTTTTTTAAAGAATCAACCATCAGACTTGCCTCTTGACCTTTTTAAAGCCATCTTTGCTATTGCATATCCTGATCTAATAAATGTGTTCATGATTTTTTAAAAAAAAGCCTTAGAGGCATTGCACTAAAATGTTCAGATACCAACAATTATGGCTCCGTTCCTGTCACAGAATTCAGTGGAAGCTAGGCACTGATTGCTATGAAAGCAGGATACTATTATTTCAGTTTAACTAGGCAATGTATGAACTGGAACATGTTCATCAACATGGGACACTGTTTGTGCCTGCAGAGTTCCCAGACAGATCCAGCAGCTACTGCTGAACATGTAGGAAGCTCATGAGATAAACAACCACTAATACATTGATAGAGCATTGCAGGATGGATTTAGGGTGCCTCAATTTCCTCTCCCTAGCAAAGAAGGTGGAGATAATCTAAGGGATACATGTGTTCTGTCCTAGACGTCACACATATATTGGAGTGCATATATTTATTTATCATTTAAACCATTCATTTATCTGACTCTATCCACTAGGCACCATGGTGTGTAATCACAGTAATACACTATAAAATATAAAAGCAAGGAGAAAGCAATAAACAAATGGATCAATTATGTACAAAATCTACTTTCCCAAAAGCCAATTCTATCAACTATTATGGATTAAGAGTGGGTTAATGTTGGATCCAGTAAGAACAAATAGCATATTTCCAAACATTATTTTTTAAAAAAATACATTATCTTTCAGCTGTAGAAGAGAATTACTCAGTGTAATTTATGCCTTTTTTCATCATAACAAATTTACATATAAAATAGTATTATAACAGAAACAGTTTATGGATCACTGCAATCATATTCTGTAGATGCTAAGTACATAAAGGCTCAAGAATGTGCTTCTCACAGAGCAAATCAAGAGGAAGGGGTTTCAGAAGCCTAACTTAATCCCCAGCTCTTAGCAAATCCCACTCAAATAAACAGGGCTCCTATTGAAATAATGGACTTAAAATCACGGGTAAAGATAAACTGTGATTAAATAGTCTATACAATTATTCTAGAATAAACAGAATCACAACTTTAACTTTGAAGTAACTCTTGTTAATGGCCTCTATGTCCTCATGACATGGTTACCTCAAAAGTTTTTGTTTTTGCTTAGTTGTCAAGGATTTCAGAAATTCTACTTCTGGGTCATCTTCTCCCTCGCTTGCAACGTATTCCTAAAAAAAGAGATTGGAAGACACAGCTACAAAACATGGATGGAAGAGACAGCATTTACATTACAGGATATAAATAACGTACTTTTAAAGACAGTTGAATAAATATTGTTCTGAGAGGCGGAAAAGATAATGCTGCAACAAAGAAAAGAGCACCGAGGTAAAGCACAGGAATGGGGTCAGCTGGTTGGCTTAGCTAGGGGGGTCAGTTCCCTTCCGCCACATCTCCCTCTTTTTTTAAACTCTTCTCCTTCTACCCAACTACAGCAGTTCAAGGCTTCAGTGCATTAATCTGCAACCATCCTAACGCTACTTTGTCCCCATATTTAGTGCATTTTAAAGGCAACCTGGGATCCATCAGATGGTTTTTTTCCAGAACCTCCAGCCTGCGTAGCCAAGCTGGAGGACATGAAGTTAGAAAAAACCATGTTCAAGCAGTATTGCTTGACTGTCCCATTGACAAGGAGCTTGTGCTGTGGAGCTCGCATGAGCCTCCACAAGAACAAACGAACCTTGAGGACACTAAGGATCTAGAAACTCATATCTTGCTGTTACGATGCTCCTTCTGATGAGAGAGAGGCTCAAAAGGTCTCTCATCAGTAAACGCAACACCATGTTGCTCTATTCAATGTCTGAAGGTGGTTGGAACTATGCTGTAATGATGTGAAACCCAAGAAACAGCAAAAAAATAGCACATCTCTTAACACTGGTGACATATTCTCGTCTCTGGTAAGCAGGGCTCTACCCTACATTTGTCAAGTTTCACTTCTGATAGCTATGCAGAGAGCAACGTTACAATCTCCATCAACACACAGGGAAGTATTCAGAATTGCACCTCCCAAATATGGCATCCCCTGAAAGGTACAGTCATTATTTTTCACCCAGGGATAGGGTTAGATAAAGCAGCTGCTATCATAAGCAAGCAAAGAGAAGTCAAAACCATTTCCTCTAGTAGACAGTAAATCTCTACTAACCTGCAGGAGGCTTTTCATTTATTAGACTACGGATTGGACAAATTCTAAACTATCATTCCAGCTAACAAAAAAAAAAATGGAGAAACAGACTATATTTTCGGAGACACAGAGCTTTCTATCTATCTGGCATTCCCATGGATATGCATATTATAAAAACATTAAGCAACAATTCACAAGCAATCACATTTAGATTTACACACATTTTCAGCTTACCGATAAAAAGATCATTACCTGGGATGGATCATCTGCGGTCAAGTTTCTCCCCAGTACATTTTGTTTCAGCGCAAACCCACTGTTTCTCATCTCCGCTATTAGCTCTGAGGGGTGCATTGATGGCCCTGTTCACCAAAATCACAGTTTGAATGTATCATTTATATCTCTCTACCTTTTTTGGACTACACAGTAGGAATTCAGTGGAAGCTTTGTTAAGTAAAATCATAGCTAAATCAACTCAATAATCTTCTGCTGAGCAAATAATCAGATATGATTTTCTAAAACAGCAGTCTGGAGATTCAGAATAAAAAATAATTGCATTTTTCTTTAAGTGCAAGGGGATTCTCTTCTTATGTAACTTTGTCACATTGAAAACAATATATTTTAGGTAACATCTAGCTGTAAGCTTTTGATAAATGCACATAAATTGAAGTACAAGCCAGCTTCCAAACTTAAACATTTTCTGGCACCAAAAGCATGCATTAGAGCAGGGATTCACAAGCTGTGTGTGTGCGTGTATGTGGTCCTGAGCAACCGAAAAGAGAGTCACAATTTTAAAAAAAAAACCGATCAGGCTGATGCAGGCACAATGACAGCTCTATTACAATTCACCCTGGGCTCTGCTGTTCCCTTTCCTGTTCAAGCAGGAACCAATGTAGACAGTGTTTCCATGGTGGGCAGCTGTAGCATTGTAAAGTCTGAGAAGCCTTGGTGATATATAGATTAATTATTAAAAGTAAGCAGCCTGTTTAATACCTGCCCAAACCTAGCCCCAATGAAATAATTCTATTCATGGGGAGGGGTGCCACACAAGTTCATTTATCATGTTAGGGGATCATGATACCCCTAAAGAACTCCTGCTTTAGAGGGACACTGAAATAGTAATAAAGCATAACTGTAGATTTGCAAAGATAGTTAAAATTTGTTCCCATATAATACTAAAATAATCACCCTCTATTTAATGTCTGGATCTAATATGTATATGTGAATATATATATATATATATATATATATATGTGTGTGTGTGTGTCTATCAAATAAGAACTGGAATTTTAAAATAGTTAAATAGATCAAGGCTGGACAGTAATATAGGGTGGTCTCTCTCCTTTCCCTCTCATGTAATTTTTTCTAACGTAGGTAGAAAAAGGTAGGTAGAAAATCTCCCTGAAATTGAACTCAGCTTTTGGGGACTTCATGGACACCACCATGTAGGGGTTTTTTGGCAATGACATGGTATGTTTTCTCAACTTTCCATTCTAATTTACAGCCTAGTGGTTCCTGATGGTGTTAATGTAGTCCAGCCTTGCTTAATTTTTCCAAGATTCTCCAAGGTCAGCCAGGTGTTGTTTACAACATGATGCCTGAAAATCCAAATGGTTTTTCAGAACACCTTTTAAAACATAAACTCCAGGTGTCGCTTAAATGTCAAGGATTTTAAAAAACCTTAGTATAGCATAAATTTCTTGATGAAAAAAAATTAAAACACATTTTGTGTATATGTATGATTCCAAACATACAGTAGCTTGTCAAAATGAGGAAAATGATCTTTTGGTATAGCTGAAAGTAGCATCTTTTGACACATACTGTATATGACTTTAAGAAATTATTTTAAGGATGCTAATTTCTAGACTTGTGTTTATGTGTTCTGGCTAGGGGCACATGCATATACATCTAAAAGGAAATGTTACTATAGTCAATGGGACTGCTTCTGAGCAAACAGGCACAGGATTATCCTGTGAAACACTGGTACACAAAGAAAAAAAATCAAGAGACTACTATGGAAGTTCATGTGTGTTATACATGATTACTACTTTTTCTCTATTAAGGGAATATAAAAGTAATCACATAAAAAACACCATACTCACAGTTAAAGATTAATGCTATTGGATACAATCTCATAGAACAAAGCACCTACTACATGCAAATCTTCCTTACCCACCCACCATTTCTCATCTTTGTACTTCATTACAGGACAAAGTGATGACAGGCTGATAAAGTTTTGCCATTTAATCAGTCCCCATGTTCCCGCTGGATGAAAATCCACCCATTGGGTTCAAAGTATGTTATGAATGTCTTAACTTTCTTCAGGGTTTAAGGTATCCATTTCACCTTTTATCTCCCTCCCCTCAAAAAGCCCAAATATTTGATCTCACCCATGTGGGTGGGTGTGTATGTGTATGTGTATGTGTATGTGTGAATCTGGTGGCCAAAAATGGATGCTGGAGCGTATCACCCTGATATATAGCAATATTTATTGCCCAATTACTGAGATTATTTTCAAAGGTCATACAGTGAGTATCTTATGAATGAATTCTTTTGCTTTTAAAGTTTAGCTGGTGCTTTTAAGTTTATTTAAAGTCCACTCCATTTATACATGTCTATGAAAGTATTTAAGATTCCTTTTATTTTATCTTATTGCTGTCTCTATTCCAAAACAGTATATATTTTTCTTTTCCTTTAACTGAAGAGATTTCTACAGTACTGATTTTATTTTCCTACTGTGTAGTGAAATTTTACTTTAATGAGATTAATTTTTTTTAAGTAACTTGCCTTATTCATCCTACGATTAGCATCCCAGACCTGCTCAATCTAAAGTGGTATCACTGCTGTTCACAAGTAGAAAAGCAATTCCTAGATAAGAAATTCTGAATTTTTGTTTTAATACAGAAAATACTAAATGTTAATATTTAATATGAATATTTAATATGAATATTACAGCATGAAAGTTTGCTGAGAGTTAAACATCTGCTTATAAGTTGGTATTTCATAGCAAGGGCCAGACTGATCCTGCTTTCTGGCTGTGGGGTCCTTAATTCACTGCACTGCCACTGTACACAACTATAGGCTACAAAAAGGCTGACTGGGTTACAGTTAATCACCAGCTGAATCAACAGTGTGATACAGCTCAAAAACAAGACTAATACAATTTTAGCCTGCATTAACAGAATCACATTTTTCAAGCTATAAGAAGTAATTCCAGTTTATTTTTTCTTATTTGATATGTTTGTAATATACTTTTCCTCCAGAAGACCAAGCGGATCTGGCCCAAGTTTTGATGGACTGTGGACTTGAATCAGTCTCTTTCCATCCTGGCACTATCCTCTGACTCCACATTGGTCCTCACCTGGACTTCTGTGTGGAGTCTTAAGTGCCACCTCAAGAAAGTGACAAACTAAAATGGGTTTAGAAGACAGCCAATGCAGATGATCAAAGATATGGAAAACATGTTCTTGGGAAAAAAGGGAAAAACAAAGGAGGTATGTTTGTGTGGAGGACAACATAGACAACAGTGGCAAAAATATGCAAGAACTGTTAGCAGATAGTAAACTAGGTTTCAGGCCTGCAAAAAGAGGGAGTGTGAGAAAGAGACTCAAAATAATTCTACCTTAGTTCTGTATGATATAAAAGGAGGCAGAGGAAACACTGACAGTTTCTGTTATATTTATTTATTTATTTAATCAAGTTTGTCATGGCCCATCTCATGAAATTACTCTGGGTGGTTTACAAGAAGATAAAAATTAATTAAAATACAACATAAAAACAATCCTAAAAATAAACAGGTTTCAAGAAGATGGAAAATTGGCAAGTAATTCAAGGAAGCATCATCAGGGGGCTAACCACCTCCAGGGACGGGTAGAGCCCATATCACCCCATACACACTGGCAGAGCCAGGTCTTTAAGGTTATTATACCTCACAGCAAGAAACTAGAGTTCCACTAGTCCTTGTGGTGACCTCCTCTAAGGGCTGACATCAATCTTGAGAGCCTGACTACTTTCTAATCAGAGAGGCATCAAACCTTGCCTTTGGTTGTAGAGATGGCATCAGATCCTCAGGGCACTCTACTGTCCACAGCACAACTAGCTGAAAGCACTGTTACAATACAATAAATTGCATGGATATACACATCACAATTCTGCACAGTGCCATAATACAACCAACACAGCAACTGAGACAAGGTTCAACAACCAACAGCCAACCAGTACTTCTTCACTCCCATGGACATTTGCCAGAAAAGTCTGGAAGCCCAGGATCAATTTCTGTTAGGTATTCACCATGAGTGTTTCCTTTAAGGAGTATATCATTATGATAGAACACATTTCAGGTGAGGAAGGATGGCTGTGATTGGATAGTAGAAGTATAACAGTAGCTGTTTCCCAAGCAAAGTTGTTGGGGGGTGTTTGGAGAGGAAATACTGTTGCTGAACTGCTACATTGGACTGAACTGTAAGTGTATGACCTTAGATTGTTTAATTGACCATTGCCTATATTGTATATATTTGCTCACTGTAAATACAAGTCTGTTGGACTAAAAGCTGTGTTTGACTTGTTATTTACCACTGTGCATATCTACTGGTTTAGTAGATATCATCTCCAAGCCTATCCCCTGATAATTTCTGACTTTTACAACTCAGTGTGAATTGTTTATGGTGGGTCAGCCAGCAAAATTTCCTACAGATCACTCCAGGGTGGGGGACTTTTGTTCTGTGTCTGCTGAAGGAAGGGACAGCCTAATGTCCAAAGATTTAGAGCTGCATTTGATGATTTGGCTAGGAGACCAAGCCCAAACTGAGAGATCTGCAAGCGGAAAGACAGAGTTTGTAAGAATATATTGGATTTTCAATTATCTGCCAGAGATGTGGAATAGAATGGGCTTGCTTTGATTGACCAGGGTTGAGAAGGACTTGCTGATGACATGAGAGATGAGTTAGTAAGATAAGTCACACCAGAGAACTGGGTGCATGTTACATGTGATTAGAAAATTGAGGCATGGAGGAAGGTTTTACAGTAAGGGGAGGTTTTATAGCCTCTCTTCTCTCTTTCTCTCTCACACACACACACCCCGTTGCCTCCTTGGATGCCAGCACTGGAGAACCCATGCAAATAGGAGCAATAAAAAGATTCCTGTCTTCAGCAGAAAAACAGAGAAGGAGAGACCTTGGTTCATGTTTCTATTGTGCAGGACCCCCAGCCAAGATCTGAGTCAGCTGCAAAGTGACCTGTGGAATTGCAGGCACATAGCAAGCAAGTGCCCAAATTGCTCCAAAATCTGGTCTTTGGGAAACTTCACAGGTTCTCCTCCCAAGAGCTGGGTGAATGAATAACCACAACTTTTACATCAGATTAGAGTATAGCAACAACAGAATTCATATCAGGGCTTGGATCAATGACCTCCAGGGAGAGCAACAGAGTGATGCTTCACCTTTTCTGTGAATGAAGGACAGTTGCTTCAGAATGCCCATTTAAAATGTTCCCCTTCTTTTACAGGAAGAAATATTATAACTATGCCATAACAAACTGGAGGGTCTGGGGGAGTGTTTAAAACTTTGCACTGGGTGTTCAGAGAGTTCTGGTGGCCAAGGATGAGAGCAGATGTCACAGACTATTTCATCTTGTCATGTCTGTTGTTGCACAAAGACTGTCCCTGCAAAGCTATCCGATTTACCCCAGCCCCTTCCCTTCACTGTGTGTAGTCTTTGCAGTGTCTGCTTCCTCACCTGGCCTATCTTGATGGGCTGATAATTTGGTTAGAGAAGAGAAGATGGGGTGAGGGAGGACATTATAAGACTTATCAAACAAAGAAGAGTTGTTTGGCCAGGAGTAGATTTATTGGACATAATGTATAGGAGGGAAAATTTCAGTAGAACATTAGAAGAAAATTCTTAATTATATCAGCAGTTTGACAAGAGAGCCAAGGAGCTTTCCTTTCTGGGCAGGTGTTTATTGAGGATGCTATAATATCTGCAGAAATTATGGTTCTAAGGCCTTCATTTAATACTGGTGGATTAGGATCTGGTTGGCTGAAGCCTTAAAAGAAAAAAGTGGTCATCATCATGGCCTTCTGAATGAAGATGATTCACAAATATTTTTTACCATGTTAAAAATAAAAAATTCTTCATCCAGACAATTCAAAATATATGTGCCAAAGTGGAATCTTTTGACTTGCTATAGAACAACTTTGCCCAACTTCTCTTGTGTTGTATCATTTATTCTGGTTTTGCTAGTAAAAAATTGGAATCCTACTTTGGTTCTACCTATTACTTTGCTAGATACTTGTATACTTTCCAGCACATTTTCACAGCCTTAAATGCTATAAAATAACTTTTCTAGAGTCATAGAGTCTGACAACAGAGAGAATATGCAGCAGAGGGGGAAAAAAGAGAGTCTGCTATCATATAGGAAACTATAGGAAGGTAGAGAAAAGGTCACCCAAAGATGCACAACATCTCAGTATCATTCTGGGCTGAGAAAGCATGGCAGATCCCTTCTGAAGATGAGGTCCTTAAAGAGATTGATATCACTGCTTTCCATTCTAGTTCTCCAATAATTATGGTTGCTCTAGTCCTTGCACAAACAGCAATGTGGCCCTCCAAATGTTGTTGAACTCCAACTCCTATTAGCTCTAGCTAGCGAGATAAAAAATATTATAATCCAATAATAACTACAGGGCTACATTCTCACTTCAGTTACTCCTACTATTAAACATATTATAGCAAGAAGGTCTGGAGTAAAAACTTCATTGGGAATAGATGTATACATCTGGTAAAAAAACTGCTAGAAACAGTAATTTCTAGTTCATTATGCTCATGTAAAACAAAGACCAAACTAACTCTTACAGCAAATTTTAAGGCAGCCACAAAACCAATGGCCCCCCAAAAGTGAAAAACACCGCAGCATTGCTTTATAATAACTCGAGGCAAGTTCTACTATTTTCAGACAGAGAAAGAGATGACTGGCAGCTGCCTTGGATGATCAGCACACCTGCAATCTCAGTTTGGTTTCTGAAAGAATCAGAAATGTGTCTTTCCAGTACTCCTGTCATGGTCTGACAACAGTATAAATAACTAGCAGATACCAAGAGTTCATTAAAAAGCAAATGGTTGCTTTAAATCAGGAAACTCTTATCTAATTGGTCACACATCATGACAATGCCATCCAACTTATGTAGAAAAGTAGAGCAAAAAGTTTTACCTTTTTATTATTATTGGTAAAAGTTAATATCAGTATTTTTTTAAAAAAAACAGCTTAGCCTAAAACAGCATTTTGATTGCCTAATTTAACTTTATAAAGGATGTAGTAAATCTTATAGTGGGTCTTGGTAAACCTCACAGCTGGAACATTCTCTCACTACCATGTAGCTTCCAATGATCAAAGTAAGTTACTTTATATGTCAGACTAAGATTTCATAATGGAAATAAATGCAACATCGGGGGGAGTGCAGTTGTCATGAAATAATTACAGTCCTGGGAGATTACAGACAAGGCTGTACCCCAGGGGTGTGATTATCCCATGATAACCACATCCAGTGAAATTGCCTTATTGCAAAAATAATCTCCATTCACCAGCAAGATATATTATTCAATAGGAGACTTTTGAAAGTGGAAAGATTATATTTTTAAAAGTCTGAATTGACAAATGGATTAGCACTACAGTCAAGGAAATAGGGAAAAAAATCCTTTCCCAATAGTCTATTTATTATTTCTTTTGTTTACTTGGTATGGAGCTGTTTTGCTTTTAAAGACTACTTTTAAAAAGTTCTCATTAGCTCCTTACAGACATTTTTCAATGGTATGGATGCAATCATCCTGAAATCACTCTATGTGAATTATTACCATGAGATCAGTAACATGTTTGTAGGTGAGATACAAACACGAACCACACTCTGGTGGTTCTAATAATCACAGAGAACTCCATGCAAGACAGCAGTGAAATATTCACTGAAACACGGTGGCTGGAAAACTCATTAGCACACAAAGACTTTCTCTTCATCTAAGATACCTGAAAGCATTTACACGAGACATTTGGCACACAATCTTTGTTGAAGTCAGTGAAACTAGATAAATATAACTGGACGTCATTTGACAAACTGACTAAAATTTAAACACCTACCTGAGCCATCACTGGAAACTGAGCTTGCGTTAATTCCAGAAAGGCCAAACAAAGGACATTCTCGGTCTGTGTTTACGTGGCCCCACTTGTGACATTTAATGCATCTCACATTCCTCACCTGAAAATGATTCATACTGACTTAATTTCACATTTCAATATGTTTTATCCCACTATATCCAAAGTAAAGATTTCATAATACAAGGCTAATGTAATATTTTGTACACTACTAAATGCACGACATTCATCTAAAATAGAAGGAAGGCAATGCATAAAACTTGCCTGGATGCCAAATGGCTGGTCTCTAATGTTCATGTCATCCTTAGCATACCTGTTAAATACAAAAAGATGCATACATATATTATTTCTGCACTAAAAAGCATTATAATTACTAGCTACTGGGGATTCAAGCAAGAAAAAACATAAGGCTTCAATTGTTTAAGTTTCAGGATGCTTCCAAATTCTAATTTATCCACATTTATGCAAAAAGTATGGAGATACAGATTTGGCTCTTCCTGACATCAAGAAAGGCTAAATATAATGGGAAAACTCAATTTATGGATCGTTTAACACACTTTCTAAATAAGATCCCCAGATTGCTGCTCCCTGAGGAAGCAATCTTTACTCAGAAGGCAAGAACAAACCTTTGCTAGTATAGGAGGATACGTTCTCACCCTTTTTATTCAGACTGTCACATTCACCATGTCAAGGCTATGGTGCTCGTGGATGTTTAATGATCTAAAATAGTGCTGCTTTCACTATTTCTCTCAGCTTTCGGGCTCTACTTATTATTCATGTTGGTCTAGTAGAACACCATCGCTTCTTAGTTTTTATTGTTCTACTCTATGTGCCTCTTGCCTCTGCTCTTTGTGGTTAAACTGTTTCAGTTTTAATGTAAATTTAAGTTGTATATGATTTGAATACTGTTCAGTTTTGGGTGCTGCACTCTTTACCTTTTAAATAGAAAAATAGTAGGCTGACATTTTAAATAAATATATACACAAGAAAGGCATTAGCAAGAGGGCTTCCTTGGATTTCATTGATCTCTACATCCTGGGCTGTGTCAGAAGAGGGAAAGTTTTATAAAGATGGAACTTTGTTCATACTTTTTGAATCTATTTATTATGTGTCTGCTGGTGGAATGAACCACTTGCAAATAGCTCTGGCTCTCTTGCTATGCTTCATCTCCACATCCACTGAATCTGCTTCAGAAAGCTGAGATATCTTCTAGGGCAGACTTGGGAACTCCAGGCAGAGATGAGAGAGCAAGAGAAATTCTCACCACATAAGATGAAGTCCTTAAGTAAAATGCTAGACATTATGTGAAACTAATATCTAAACACAGAATGTGTACTTTATAAAGTTTGGTCAATAATATTCTTTGCTCATTTGCCTTCCTTCCATTTATCAATGTTTTATTCTAAGATCTGATATGGCAACTCATGTATTCAGCTAATCTGTAGAAAAAAATATACAAGATATTATGTATTGAAAAGGTAGTTCCTCTCTTGGTTTTTAAAAAAATATATAGCTTGAGTTAACAATCTTCTTGCTGAAGGAACACATACATGAAAACAAACTCTCAAAATACATTAGTCAAGTTATAAATTAATCATTCTTACTTTTCACGTGGAGCTACCTTCTGCCATTCAAATTTGTATTCCGTTTCTCCCTCCTGCTAATAACAAAACATATAGACTCAAGCTGTAATATATATTCAAATTGAGAATTTGAAATGTGAGAAAATATAAGAAATTAAACATCAAAATTACCTCTTTGGTTTCTTGTTTGATGATCATGATGGAATGGCAGGGAATAGGATAAGACAGACCATTAGATGAGACATACTGTAGGCGACGGATATCAACAACATTCAGATCACAGATCACAACAACACAGACCTCTGAAAAAAATCTTATTTCATAAAGTTCATCTACTAAATCTCAGTATTTTCTTTTTAATTATGCAAAACTGAAGGTGTGATTTCTAGATTCATAATAAAGGCTGCAATTCTATATAGCCTTATGCCGGAATCTCACCACATGTAGACTTACTCTTCAGTAATTTGATATCTATTTCAGGATTTTTTAATGAACCAAAAATATAAGAACAAAAATATTTAATCTACTATTGCATGGCCAATTTGCAAAGGTTCAAGCTTGAATCAGAAGAAGCATTTTACCTTTGCCTAAAATGACTTGACAAGAATACAGCATCCTTTCCAACTTCCTATACAGCAGCTGTAGAATTTTTGTTGCCATAAGGGAGATTAAAAACTTCCCATCTAAATGTAAGGAGTCTTTCTTAGAGGCTCATACTCTGATTAAAGTCTTTGAGTGCATCTGCATGTCATGCTTAATAATAAGATGGATAGTATGTCCTATTTGGGTCCCATGTATGCCCACTGCCTCTTTCCCAGCAGCGCTTGTCAGTGGGCTGTTAACCATTCCTAGCAAATGAATGCCTCATTTGAATACAAAATGTATGCTACCATGTGTGCTACCATGACAAATTGCAGAGGGAACTATCACTGTATTTTGTGGCAGACTGTTCCTAATTTGAAAAAGGCCAGTAATAGTGTCATCCTGTGGCCAGAAGTCACTCTACTATGGAAGGACATAGTTACACATGGGGCGTTAGCAGGGTGTAAAAGTGAGTAAGAGCTGCACAGTTAATAGAGGAACAACTGTCAGTTCATAAATTTGCTTTCAATACTAGGAGTAATAAGATGCCCTGAGAATCCCAATATTTTGGTTCAGTTTAAAAGAAATTAACAAAATAGGTTATGAAATCATGTCCACTACAATACAAGATCCTACTTCTGTAATCAACAACTTTGTGGGCATCACTGCAAACTTTTCCTTTTACCAATACTGTAGGCTGTAGTTTGTAACCCTTAAACTCTACGATGTCACCTATTATAAAGAAGTTGTTTAGTACTAAGTCAAGCCATTGATCAACTTAGCTGAATATTTCTATGCCAGATTCTTCAAACTGGTACCACCCTAACGTGTTAGATTTCAACTCCCATAAGCCCTAGCCAGAATGGAAGTTGAAGCCCAATATCTCTGACTTACATCAGATGGAGTCAGCCCTTTACAGGCAGAGGACGTTTGGTCTTACCCAAACTACAACAGCTCTCCTGTGTTTCAGAGAGTGGTCTTTCTGACCCTTATCTGGATATACCCAGAACTGAAATTTTCTGCAAGGAAAGCATTTATTCCTCTAAGTGCTAACTATAATTCTCTAGCACTTTTCAGTTACAAAAGGAAGGAAGGAAGGAAGGAAGGAAGGAAGGAAGGAAGGAAGGAAGGAAGGAAGGAAGGGCTAATGATGAACACAGGTGTGAGGAAAGTTTGTTGCAATTAAAGCAAAATGATCAAAAACACTTTGAATATTATAGTCACCATACAATTGCTGGTAAATATCATGTTAGTTACTTAACAACTAAAATTACCTTTCTTTGCTCCAGGTGGCGCTTCATACATAAAATTTAGACCATTCTTGACACGTTCATCTCCCATAAGCAATCTTTATAAACATATAATAAATCAAATGACAATATATCACAAGAAATATATATTGATTCAAAACATATTTTACAATAAAGGTAGCGTATAATGATTCCACAATAAGATATAGCTCAATTTTTTTCTAGTAGAAGCTTTAAATACCTGGGGTACATAATAATTTTGGATTAAGCAATAGTTCCTTTTTAAACACTGGAACTTCAGCCTCAAATGTATTCCTAGACTTGACCTTATATTCCAAATATTTTAGCTTGTCATGCACATTTCTAAAGCAACAGTGGGCCTGAGAACACTTGTCAAAAAAGAATTCACATTCTGAATGCAATTCCTAAAATACTGATATTCTCTGATCTTTGAAAGACTGAGCAACATATGTGATCTGAGACTAAATCCCTGGGAAGTGAGGCAAAGAAAGATTTGCAAAGAAAGTAGGTATTGCTTCATAGCATTGCTTCATAGATCCAGGAGATGTATTTTCTCTGCTGCGGTATCTGCCCTATGGAATAGCATCTCCATGAGATCTGGATGGCCCTCACCCTGTCGGCCTTCCATAAAGCTTTAAAGACCTGGCTTTTCCCTCAAGCACTGGGGCTGGGATGTCAGATGAGCCCAGTTGGTTTGTCTGCCTGCTATTGATTTACAAGATGGAATGGATTTTTTGGACCTTGGGTACATTATATCTGATTGTTTGTTATAATTCTTTTTAACTATTTTGGTGGTTGTTTTTGGGTTATAATTTACTTTTAGTCACCCAGAGTTCCATTTTTGAGATGGACAGTCGTATAAACTGGTTAAATAACACCTTTCTCAGAGATGTTTACAGCAAATAAAATATTTCAATCATGTAATAAAACAGTATAAAACAAACATGTATAATAAAGATAACTAATGGAGCCACAAATTTAGGGGGTCATACTTTAATTATAAATTTTTATCACCCAAGTGTAAAATAAAGAGCCACATCTCACCTGTTATCATAAGATTCTTGCTCTTTAAGATATTGCTGCATTAATTCTTCTTGTTTCTTCTTGTCATAAGATATTTTCTGTTCTGCCATCCATACCTAGTTGGAACAAATGTGATTTAAATACCATTCTTGCTTAAATTCCTCCTTTCACTTTTTGGAATTCCATATTAAATGCACAATGCTCTGAAATTCTGTAACTTTAATTATTACTAAAAAAAATCATCCAGGCATTCTTGGGAGACTCAAGTAAGAAGATATGGACCTTTTAACAGAAATATTTACTATGGAAGCTAGGCTTCTTACTAGAAACAGAAGATCAAGTCAAGCTCACATCTCCACTATGCTCCATGGGACCTTCTCTAATTGTTTGGCTGTTATGGATGCTAAGAGACCTCTGGAAAGATTGGCAGAAGAAGCAAAACATGTACGCAATGGCAACCTGTGCAGATGAGTCTCTATGGCACTCCTTTGCTTGGGAGTGGGTAAAAAAACACCCCTAAAAGTAGCTGAACCAACCTGACTTGGTCATCAACCTCCTGGAAGAAGACACCTGAACTGCATTGAACTGAATTGAACTAGTAACTGATTAAATAAGCAATGCAACATGCTTAAAAAACCAGGAAGATGGGATTCTGCAGATTCTACTAAAGAAATCAATGGAAAGAATGAGCCAGATTAAAATAATTAAGCACTGTAGAAGCAGCCTTGATATTAGCAGTCTCTATAAAATGACATTTTATATTAGTAATAAAATTAACAATGTAAATAATTATGAACATTCTGAGAATTTCAAAAAATCTTTTCACAGATTCTTCACCATAAGCTCATAAAGTCAAGAGGCAACATCTCTTCGGGGCTAGATGCAAAGTACTGTTTTCACAATGCAAGTAAACCAACATGAGAAACCTCTGTGATCAGAAAGATCACTGGGAGTAGTCTAACACCTTTTGCTGTTTTGGATGATGGGCAATTCTCCACTGGGAATTTTGACTTTGGAAGTTCCATGCAATATCAAAATCTGCTGGTTGCTTATTTAAGAAAAGAAAAACACAACTCCACTGAGTTCAGTGAGACTGAATTTCCAGATAAGGATTGTTGCCTAAAAAGCTGCATTCACACAACGCACTGAATGACAAACCTGGCCAGTATACTTAGTTTGTGGTATAATGTGTCATCTTTTTTTGTGTATGTGTGTGTGTGCGCCTTCAAATCAGTTTTTGACTCCTGGTGACTACCTGGACTAGTCCTTGCAGTTTTCCTGGCCATGTTTTTGGAAGTGTTTCGCCACTGCCTACTTCCTAGGGCTGAGTGACTGGCCCAAGGCCAGCCACCTGGCTTCGTGCCTAAGGCAGAACTCGGGGGCTCCCAGTTTCTAGCCTGATGCCTTAACACTACACACAAACTGTCATCTATACCCAGAAAACTGGATCAAGTAAACCATATATAGTGAGAACACAGTCTAAGCATCAATACAAATTATATGTTGTAGATATCCTTGTGAATAGCACACAATATACCTTCAAACCCTTCTCAACCAAATTTGGAAGATCTCAGGACAGCTATTCCCAATCTTTAAATACCCATGCAAATGTATATTCTCTACACTTTATGCCAGGCATAGACAACCTGATATACTCCAGGTGATTTTGACTTCAATTCTCCCAGTCCTTGCCAGTGCATGGGTTCCTGATCTTGCTTTAATGGATTTTGAATGTCTGGGAATCCATTTAATAGTTTCTCCTCCTCCTCAATCCTCCCATTGCCAACTCTCCATCCCACTTTATTTATTTCTGCCCCATCTTTGTTCTTAAGCATATAAAACAACACTCAGCCCAGCTATTGCTGCAAATCTAGAGCCGAGGAGCAGGCCCTTGCTTTAAATTCAGTAGGACTCACTGTGGAAAAGAGGTGCGTAAGATTGGGCTGCAAAACAACACATTACAGTACAAAAGGGGCACCCTGTCCCCCTCTTTGTTAAGATGAGTAAACTTAAGAAATGAGAAAAAGGGGACTCATCTTTATAATGCAGACAGCGGGTATCCCCCTAGCCAGGGCGATTATCCTCAAACTGAGGGAGAGATCGGAAGAGCG